ATGTCAATCCTTCACTTTAATAAATGTGTATTTACATCTCAGGAAAACATAGTTTTTCATTTTTTGCCTAAGTTCTATAAATGTTACAGCTTATAATTTAACTTGAATTTAATTATTGTTGATCTCATTTTGCCTATCCCTCAGATGAATTTTGTTGATGGTTCTAGCTATATGAACTATGCAGGGATATTAGTGTGGCCAATATTTTGTTGATGAGTTTGGGCTTAGGGGAAGTTTTATAGGGGTCTATTACTTTCATTAGTCTTGTGAAAGAATGCAATAATTGAAATTTAACTAAATCTCACTTCTTTCTCTACAGAAAATACTGTATGCAAGCAGTTCAACTGGGAGCAAGTTTATGCTTAACAAAACATGCATAAGGTAGGTTCACTGTTTACAGTATATAAATGGTTGAATATCAGAATAATTATGTATTATGCCCACTGTACAGTTATTTTAATCACTGTATTATGTTTGTGAATACACATAAAAGAGAATTGTTGCACAATTGACAATCTATATAATAGTAATAATTATAAGTAATCGAAAAAACCAAATAATAATTCATACATCTCAGAACTTTTACTGCTCCATCTAGAAACCTACAGTATTTTAGTTGAAGAATATCAGTTCCCCTTGTCATACAATACACATACATGTAAGACTATGATTAATGCACAAACTCCCCCACTTTCAAGAAGTATTTGTAGTGCAACTTATTACTAATTAGAGCCATATAAACGATGATTCTCATGGGTGATTGTATGCATTTTTACAGCAGCTAACAAACCACCAAATTGCTCTAAGTTTTGCCATCATTAATACAGAAGTTTAAAATGGTTAAGTTTTTGAGGAAAAAATTATCTTTAATTTACAGTATCGATGTTCCTCCACAAGAAAGTCACACCCATTTTGTTAAGTTGTAGAAGCTGTAATACTTTTTTCTTTCTTTCAGCCTATAGTTTTGAATCCAAGATTTACCCTGTCAGATGGATTTAATGTTTGACCTCAAACGGTGGACTGTTTCATTTAATTTCTATGCAGAGAGAATCAATATACATTTCCATAATAGGCTGTGAAGTGTAGTCTAAAAAATTACTCCGGAAATCTGTTCTGTTGGCCACCACAAACAATTAACTAATGATTATGTATGCAATTTATTATATACAATGTCCAGTCAGGAAAATCTAAGCAATGTTATATTGATGATCATTTCTAAAAGGGAAGACTATAGGTCTAGTAAAATGGATATGTGTCATTCACTGAACATACAAAGTATTTTAGATTCATATTCCTTGAGGAAAAGATAAGATTTTAATATTGGATGTAGTTACAACTTGCTATTTTAGAAATTTTAAAAATTTAGAATTACAATTTTTTTTGTGAATTATGATATATATGAGAGGCATTGGCTCTTGAGAAAATAGTAAAAATTTGCTTATAAGCTGCCAATTTTTTGGTATTGAATTTTATGTATAGTACTGCATTGTACATTTGGACAAAAAACATGTAAAAAAATTATATTATATTTATTTAAAAACTAATGAATATAGTGAAATTATTTTTATTCCACGTTCGACTGTATTCATAGAAATTATGTGTGTAAGGGTTTCAAGTATATTTGTAGAAACCTTCTTTATAACATTTTTACTTTAATAATTTGACATTCACCTGTATGATACTATGCACATATAATTGTGACTTTAAAGTTAATAAATTTGAATCAAAGGTCTAGATAAATTTATTTTTTGTCATTTTATAATTATAAAGTATCTATATACATGCATGCATACATACATATATATACATATATATATATATATATCTAATTTAAATAAATTGAGGCAAAGCAACCACCTCGTCTGTTTCTTAC